AATTAAATATAGAGCAACCTGCTCCCTCATAATTTGTTATATAAATAAAAATTGTCTAATCGTTATAGTAAGTTTATATATGCAAATTATCCACTATAGTAGTCTCGATCAATTTATGGTCTCCATAGATATTCTTCAATAATTTGGAGGATCTCATGGTGAACAAGTATAACTTGGTATAGACAATGTTTTCTTGTCTTAGTGATTTGGTCGTTGAAATGTCCTAGCAATATAAAGTTATGTGTCTTGTTATGTCTGTTTCTTACCTGCCTAAAAGAACAAAATATGCAAAATTATATTACATGCTTGGTCTGTGCAAATTTTACAAAAAAGCTTGCATCACACGTTCATTGGCACCACATATGGTTTAGACTTTTAGCCATGGTCTTTTGAGGCTTTTCCCTCCAAGAAGGGGCAAATGCGGCTAATTGATACGTAAAGTATGTATTTACGTTCAGATATATTTTGTACTACGTACTCTTTCTATCTCTATTTATTCTTCGATATGACTGGACAGTTTTAGCTTGGTGAGTTTGGAGAACTAATATTATATGGATTGGAACAATGGAAGGAGGAGTGGAGGACTATACAATAATACAATTATTAGAAGGCTATATATCCTTATCTTTTACAACATCAAATCGATAACCATCATTAAAAGGCTTATTGCTTAAATACATGGCCAAATATAGTTGGTCAAAAAAATCTAAGACTACAACAATAATACTCGTACAACTGTTTCGACCATAAAGCAAAATTAGTGATCCGTTTTACTTAACAAATGAATAGTTTGTAGTATCTGATTTCCAAAAACAAATTCTAATTAATTAAAAATAGCCGAAGAATGAATATTGACATGTGTGGTCCTCTAATAAAAAGAGAGAATTCAAACACATTTATCGGATTAAAAGATGAAGAAAAATGTCTAATAATAAAAAAATTTGAAAAAACTAGTTTCATATGGTGAAGCTTCTATCATCTTTTGTCATTAGTATGAGTAACAGCTAACAAGTAGCCACACGTCCAATTTTATCACTTTCTATATATTGTATTCCCTTTATTTCTTTTTGTTGTTCTTATCTTAACTTTTTTTTTTTTTTTTTTTTTATTCACTTTTATGTCTCACAAAAATTCTGAACAACATTAAAAAGAAATAGAGATATTATAGTAAATTTAAAAAAGTTTTTCTTTACTTGTAATATGAGATATAATTTGCTAACCATCATTTTTAGATTAAGATCGTACGGAGTATATAGCAAATTGCAACATCATGCCTTAATGAATTTTCATTCATTAATTGAACACTACGATTATGATTCTTGAATGTAATGTTTTGTTGAAGATAGAGGGTAATTGACTTTATGTTGGATTATCTATTGGTGTACATACTCCTCTCTACAAACGGAATTATAAGCTTATCGAATAACTCCCTAGAATCAATGACAATTCTTACATACACTCAAAACCTAAATCTAGCTATTTTGGTCGATTAGAAAAATCAAACGAAGTGCAGCGTCATTCAAATGGTGCAGCATCCACAGATTCCATACTATCTAACTATCTAATTAAAAATAAACATGTTTTAAAGGTAAAACAAAAGGAATTAATAACAAATGCCTTCACTTTAGGGGTTTTCAATATCTATATCAGTTCTTAGCTTTTGATTTTTGGGATTTTTAATGTTATACTTTGTGAGATATAGGTTTTACATCAAATTTAAAACTAATCATAGTTTTTATGTTATGGAAGATAATTGTAAATATAACCAAGAAAATATCCTTTCATCTTTAGGTTTCTGGATAACCTTTTTTTTAAAAAAATTGAAAATATCACAATGATAACAATTGATACATAATTTCGTTGAAAAGGGTGTGGAGTTGTGGACATAAAGTCTTGTTCTTGCCACACCTATCTCTTCCATCTTCATAACTCGCTGACTCGCTCCGTACTTTCTTGCAAATTGTATGAATCTTCTCTTGAAGTAATTTTACACAAGTTATTTACTTTTTTCATCTATAGTATTTTTTTTCCTTTAGTTGTCTGATTTAGTTATTTATATACGTAGTATAAACATCACAATGATAACAATTGATCAAATAATAGTTGTTCAATCATCTTATATTTGATGAAGTGAAATTATTTTCGCTGAACTGATATACATCATAGAGAGTAAAGGTCAAAATGTAGCCGCATAGGGACGAATGGAGTTTTGTCAATAATTGTGGTAATTGATTAATTAATCAAGTAATTGAAGGAGATTCAATCAATTTAATCCGTCATGTCATAGAGTGAAGTTGCGCTACAATGTTGAACGTGGTGGCTCCCATCGCTTTAAATGGAGAAAAAGGTGGACCTTGGAAGTATCTCAATTTTTGAAAAAAAATCTATTTCGTAGAAAAGGCCAATATTAATAGGACAAAAAGGCTCTTTATGTCATTAAATTGTTATTCTGCCAAACGTCACTTTACCTTCTTATAAACCACATTTATGTGATTTGTGTATTTGTGATCCAACTTGTGTTGAACTTAGATTTCTCTAGCTAGCTCTCCAAAATGAGTTGATTATTTTGGTTGCCTTACACCAAGGGCAACTCTTTTATCTTTATGTTTTTCACTTTTTCTCTATATTATACGAGGTACTTAAATGTATTGAAAAGAAATCGGTTTAGCATACATTATTAGATTTTATGAAGTACAAAATAACTACCCTAACATACATACTAGTGTACTACTACCTCTGTTTTGCTAAGTGTTACCTGTACTCACTTGTATTTTACGCGAACTCTAATGTACTACTTTGATCATTAATTTTTGTAATTGTAAATTACTTAAAATTATACGAAGTTGATGTATTAAAAATTCATAACAATATGAATTTAATAAGATCCAACTTGATAATTTTTTTTCTTATAAATACACAATAAACATGATCAGAACTAAAGTTTGACCTTGTGAATAGTAAATGGGTAAAACTCATAAGTATGAAGGTAGTAAATAGTAATGATTTGAATTTTTCATCATTGAAAAATATTACTACGTACTAGTCAAACATACTTGCTAGTTTTCATCATAAACCTAATTGATAATAATATGTGAATTAACTAATTCGTGTTCTACATCCTTTGCTTTACAATGACATGCATCATGTTAACAACATACAACTTTGACTATAAATGGATGTTAAATCAATTATATTTTCTTTATTATTTCACTACTATTCTCCATACAAAGGTTAATGGAATACGTATTGCACCCTGATTTTTGTAATAATTAAAAAAAGGTAATATGTATGTAACTATGTAATAACCATTAATTCGAACAGTACGTTTTCTATGTGCCTGATCATACCGTGTGTCGGGGTTACTTTTTTAGGGGTTACTCGCTCGGCCAAGGATTACTTATTCTGGGAATACTCGGTCAGTTATCGTGTTTTCTGCGTGGCTGGTCACACCGTGTGACCGACTGACACACACCAAAACACTTAACAGGTAACCCCTGACCGATTGAATAACCCGCGAACCGTGACCGACCGAGTAACCCCTAAATAAATAACCCCGGCTACACGGTGTAGCCAGCCACATGAAAATTTAATTTGTGTAATTCGAAACCGGAGGGAGTATAGAATTGTACTTCAAGCAAGCTAAGCTAAGAGGTAAAAGAGGTGGTAGATTTGAAGAGCATAAAGGCAAAATCGGTCATTAAATAGTGTTAGTTGGTGGAAAATGACTGAATCCCTTATTTCGGCTGTTTATAGTATTCATCAGAAAATCAGCGGATAAGATTGCTGTAAAATAAATCCGAAAATAAAGAAGGAGATAGAAATAAAGTTTGTACTATACACATTTTGTGTGTGTGTGTGTAAGTGAGCTAGCTACAATGGACCTTCTGAAACAAATATTAAATCCAAAAAGTCTAAAACAAAAAGGGATGATTTATGACTTCCAACTTTTTTTGAGATTATTATGACCTTTCAATTTTCATGGTCATCTCCAATATCTAACTTTGCTACTCTTTTTCTCTCTCTCGTTTTAGTTAGTGCCGAGATTGGCTCCTTCCATCTCTAAGATCCTAAAGCATTCAACAAATAAAAACTTTTTATGCTATGTCTACTTTTCTAAAAAGTCCTAATCTGCTACTATTTTCGTCTTTGTATGTTCTTTTCACGTTAAATTAATTTATATCTAAAAAGATTTCAATTAGAAAGAAGAACGAAATAGAGATTGACTGATGGAGGGATAGTATGCATAACATATAATCGAGTATAACTTAGCTAGCTAGGTTTAAGTGTTTGCTAACCACTTCATATTAAGTGTATATATTTAAGCGGCTATTTTAGTTTGATTAATTACAATTGCTCTATATTTTGAAGTGGTGAAATGAAATGAACAATAATAATGGTATGAACATGAGGCAACATCAATATTACCCCCAATATCAGCGACAATGTTTCCATTTTAGGCATATTTTACTCTGTACTCTCTTAGGCATGATACATGCCAAATGGTGATTGCAAGAAACCTTTGACTATATGCCACTATTGACCATGACTTCATTCTAGATTAGAGGAAACATGCTCCATATATATTATATTAACTCATATTATGGAACAAGCTAACTTTTAACTAATGATGAAGTCTATGTAGTATTGTATATATTTTTATTTTACAAAAATGAGGTTTTTTATCTATAACAATTATTTCTCAATTGTTGATTAAATGAATTGGACATCATTTTTGGTGTATGCATCTTTAATTTGTAGTTAGTAAATTAATTTGCATGTCTGTTTGTATGAATTATACTTTCATATATTATACAAAATATGAGTAATATACTACTCAACATTCTATCACAATCATCCAATAAACGACACATTTAATTTTGTCAAGAAAATATATAAATCCATTACATGATAAATTTATACATAAAATAATAATAATATTATAAAATAAATATGGTAGCTATAAGTGGCCTATATAACCCAAGTGTTCCATTTAATTTAATGAATGGGTACTATCACCTTTCCTATATAAGACAACCCAAACCCTTTCTCCTTTCCTCAACTCATTACCCTACACATACAACTTCTCTACTTCAAGTCTTCAACCCCACATTTTTTTTTCAAAAAAAAAAAAAAAAAAAAAAAAAAAAAAAAAAAACTCTATAAAAATAAATTTTCTTAGTTACAACAATATAATGGTGATGTTAAAGGGTCTATCAACATCCATGAATGCAAAAATCCTCGGTACCGGGGGCGAAGACGAGGTGATTGTTCTAGGACATGGTTATGGTGGAGAACAATCCTTGTGGGAAAAGATTGTTCCTAGCTTAGAAGAAAAGCACCAAGTTGTTCTTTTTGATTGGAACTTTTCTGGTGCTTTTAATACTAATATTGAGAATAATAATAATAATAATCATGGTTTTGATCCTTTAAAGTATAATTCTCTTGATGTTTTTGCTGATGATTTGGTACATTTATTGGATGAAATGAACATTAAATCATGTGTTTTTGTTGGTCATTCTATGTCTGGTATGATTGGTTGTATTGCTTCCATCAAGAGGCCTCATCTTTTTACCAAGCTTATACTCATTGGAGCATCTCCCAGGTAATTAATTTAATCTACATATATCTACTTAAGAAATTTTAATTTGATGTTTAATTAATAATTAGTGTGCTTTATTTGGCAGAATTGTGGATTAATTTCATGCATAGGTGGATTACATATATTTAATTCTCTACCTGAATTAAATGCCTAATTATTGGAGTGTTATGTTTTAGTTTCTTTGTGAGTTGGCTAAGACTGCTTGATTTTAGTTAAAACAAAATAAAATGAAAACCTCTCCTTCATATATCTACTTTAGAAAAGCTATAATTAGCTTATCCATCTGTACTAATTTAGTAGATATTCATGATAATTTATTTCTATTTTTCTCTAAAATAAACATTTTTTTTTTCATTACGATTAAGTTTTCAGGGTTATTTGGAAACTTACTATTTTTTTTGTTCATTTGGATATAGTCATTTATAGATCATACTAAGCTACTCTGTATAAAATATTGATCTATCATACATTTCGTGTGGTGTGTCCAAAACAACCAATATTTTAATCTTAATAGTAAAACTATGACACTCATGTACTTGACATGCCTAGATATTATACAGTATTTTATATCAAAGTCTAATATATACTCATAATTTAAAAAAGTATTATTTTTAGCGCTCTTATTACTCTCGGGGATGAGTAGTCCATCTTTTAGGAGGCTGCCTTGATTAGTCATGTCAAATCCTCAACATGCATTAGGAGCTCGTCACGAGTAGTCCTGTTTAATTCCTACAAAAATTAAAATTAGAGAGATAGATAAGAAATAATCGTTGTACAGTTTGAATAGGTATAGGTGATTGATTATTAGGTAAATACTTTCATACTAGGATTAATGTATTATACTTCCTCCGTTTTTTTTTTTATTGCATCATAGGGATTTTGGAGGCAAAATTTGGTAGTGGGAAAAAGTAAGAGACAGAAACGTAAAAATACAAAATTGTCCATGTAATGTAAGAAAAAATAAAAAGTAAGTGTGAAAAAGTAAGGGTATGTTGGGTATTTGCAGTGTGAACATAGATATTTTTATCCTAAAAAAAATGATGCAATAATAAGTAAACTTCCTAAAGTAGTAAGTGATGCGATAAAAAAAGAACGGAGGAAGTATATACTTCCACAATTTGTATATTATAAGGTTAACATAGCATAATAAATTTTTTTAAGTGAGCTCAAGTACTAGGGACCAAGGCTGTTTTAGGTTTAGAAATTTGTGTGATGTAAAATGAAAGAAGGATGTGGACAATTCTTTACTTTTTGCTTGTAATAAAGTTAAAAAGCAACTTTAATTGTCATATGGCAACTTTGATTTATTTATTTTTAAATCATTTTTTAAGTTTCTTTTTAATTTTTAATTTCCTAGACTTCTTATTCACGTAGAGCTTTGTCGTTATTAGACGGAGTAGTTGTTTGGTTAATGTTAATGACAGCTATTGAGTACTATTCATACTCTGATAGTCTGATGTGAGCTTTTGGCCCATTTAAGCCCAAGAGTTTGTTCAGCTTCCATTTAATAACACTTCAACTCCCTTTGTTCACTTGTCTTTTTGCCCAATCAATTTTTGACAAAGTCACATGATTTTCACATCAACATTTAGCTCATCTATTATATATGGAGTTTATTTTATAAAAATGAATAATTCTTAATCGATCAGTAACATATAATCTTAAAATATTATGTGTTTATTTCAAAAAATAATACGGAGTACTTCGTAATAACATAATGTGTTTGTCAAGCCACATGATAAAGAAAAAAAACTTTTTTGGTCTTTATCGAGATATTTGTTAAAGAAAATGAAAAATCCATGTTTACTTGACATGGTCATTAAATGTGTCTTAAGTGATGATAGCGTCATTTAGATCAATTGGATTTCAAGGGGTAAGTACGAGCTAGTAAAATTCAATTATGCATATGTAGAGAAATAGAGATGGAATAAATGAAGTTCGTCAATTTTTTGGTCCAAAATTATGTTAGAATCCATACCATCTTATTTATGCACTACTTAAAAGTTATCAAGTCGTTTAATTTGATAAAATTGTCGATGTGATCTAACGCATGCTAAATTAATAAAAATAGGTACATAAATTCAGAAGATTATGAAGGAGGGTTTGAGGCAACACAAATTGAGCAACTCCTCTCAACAATAGAATCCAATTTTCAGCCTTGGGCCACAGCGTTTGCTCCTTTAGCCGTAGGAGGAAAAGAACCTCAATTAGCTGAGAAATTTGACAAGAGTTTAAAGAAAATGAAGCCAGAAGTTGCCCTAGCTGTTGCTAAGATCATTTTCCTCGGTGACTACCGCCATGTTCTTGAGAAAGTTGAGACACCTTGCACCATCATTAGCACCACCAATGATCTTGTAGTCCCCTCATCTGTGCCTTACTATATGCAGAAGAAGATGATCAATGCTAAATCGAGGGTCGAAATCATCGATGTTGATGGTCATTTCCCACACTTGACTGCTCATGATGAGGTCCTTAATGTGATTACTAAGGTGCTGGATTCTTAATAGTAATTAAGGTCTTATATATATGTATGAAATTTTTTAATTAAATTATTATCTCTAGCATATGCTTGCATGCATGCATGCATTATTTCCTGCCCCTTGGTTAGGTTAGTGGGAAAAAAGGGTTTGTGAAATAAGTACTTAAGTGGTTAAGTGTGTTGTTATTTGCTATTATCAAGCAAATTATTAAGCCAAGTTAGGATTAGTGATAGCTAGCTAGGTTTGGGTTTGCGAGTTTTGGTTGGAAATTAAACATTCCAAATTTTTTCCTATGTTTAAGAAGATGAAATTGGTATTGGTAGTATATGTTAGGTTATTATATAAGTATGTTGTATATTAAATGTGATCCTATTGACTACTTGAAATGAATTTATTCTCTTTCGATACATACCCCATCAAAGATTCAAATCTAATAAGAACGCATATGATTTTATTTTAGCCTATATTAAATGTAAGCCTATGGACTATTTGAAATGTGAGCCTATGGCTGGTTTTTGTAAAAAAAAATTTAGTTTAGCCTATCGAGGATATCAAAGCACAAAGTTTCCATTATATGGCCCAATAGGCCCAGCTATATACATTTGTATACGGGCCAATGAGCTCAGCTTAAGCATTTATATTTTCTTTATAGCCAAAGGGTGAGAATGTGAGATGATAATGTCGCTCTAAATATGCAAAACACCCTTCTTTATAATGTAGTCCGTAGAACAATTACATAAAATAAAACTCATAAAAGCTAATCAATAATAATAAATAGGATTCTTTTGGAAAAAAAATAATAAATAGGAAAAAAAATCAATCATCAAAGATTTTGAAATATTTGTTTGTCCCATTAGCAATTTCAGAATCTTCAAGGGACATTTTAAAACATAAATATCTTCAATTTAGTTTGTACTACATTCAAATATAATGTTTTAAAGTCGAATGAAGCCAAGAAGAATGCATATGACTTTATTATTTCAAATAGACAGAAATGATTACCGGATGGCTGAGCCTAGCTTTGGTGATAGTTGTTCTATTATGGGCCAAATATTTGGACCAGGCCCCGATTCGAGTAAAAAAAATAAAAATAAGTGTGGGTCTAAAAAAATAGCAGGGTCGAGCCAAAATTGTACGAAGTAACTGAAAATGTTATGTTAGGTTGTTGAAAGTTATTGATAATTTATGGTCAAATTTTCAAAATTTGACTAATAAAAAATAAAATGGAGGAAATAAATAGGAACATTGAGAAAGTAATCCATTATAAAAAAATAAAAAAAAATTCCCAGTCTACCCTTTAGCTTGATCCCCAAGGTACCTCCCCAAAATAGCAAAAACCCAGCCCACAATATCCCACCTTCGACTTTGCACTAACCTAGAACCTTCTACCATCCTCTCTATCCACCAAAAAATCTCCCCCCATTTCTCCAAGAACCTTCCAGACACCCTTCCCTCTATAAATACCCATCATCTTTTTCTCTCTCCATCTTCAGAATCCTTTCAAAAATCCCATTTTAAAAAAAAAAAAAAAAAAAATCACGCTCAAAATCAAATTCTCTCTCCTCTTTAGAATCCTCCACAACAATGCCAACCAGATCATCCGGCCCGATCTCTCAAGACTGGGAGCCCGTCGTAATCCACAAAACCCGACCCAAAACCCAAGACCTCCGTGATCCGAAGGCGGTGAACCAAGCTCTGCGCTCCGGTAAACCCGTCGAAACCGTCAAGAAAGCCGTCGCAGGAACTAACAAGAAGGCTCCTGCGACGGCTGTTAATGCGCGGAAACTCGACGAGGAGACTGAACCAGCTGCGCTTGCTAAGGTGGGGACTGAGGTGAGACTGGCTATTCAGAAGGCGAGGATTGAGAAGAAGATGAGTCAAGCTGAGTTAGCGAAGCAGATTAATGAAAGACCTCAGGTTGTTCAGGAGTATGAGAATGGTAAAGCTGTTCCTAATCATATGGTTCTTGCGAAAATGGAGAGAGTTCTTGGTGTTAAACTTAGGGGAAAATCTGGAAAATGATGTGATTGTTGTGTGTTTTTAGTTGATGATGATTTGTTGTTTTTGTGATTAAAAGAGTTTAGGGCTTATGTGTGGTGTAATCTTTGATGAATGAAAAGTTAGTAAATAATTTCGTGATTTGTTGTTTGTTTTATTATTTTGAATTGATTAATTCATTTTATTTTCTTTTACGATCTGAATTGACGTAACAATTTGGGGCGTTAAAACATAGATTATGAGTTTATGACTTGAAAAATGACCATAATTAGAACAACTGAAAATAAATGATGAAATCCGATCAAATCCGAATTTAATTTGGAGTATTAAACCTGGATTATGACTTGAAAATTGACTAAATTAATAATTAAATCTGAATTTCACCCGATTTCCCTGATTATACAAGTAACCAAATGCTATGACAATTTGGGGTATATAGAAATGATTATCTTGATTCTTGACATGTAATTTAATATCGACCTGATCTTAAATAAGCCGGATTTGATTTTACTTGACCCGAATCGAACTATGGGGCATTTAGAGTTTAGACTAATCTGATTATTATCCTCATAGTCTAATATTGGGCCTATTGCTTGGACTTGGTAACCAATGTGGTCTATTACTCATTTACTCATCTGGAAGATAACATCGTATGGTGTGAGATTTTTTTATAATTTTTTTGACAAAACTCAAACTCAGAATTTTATTAGCGCAAAGCAAGTTTATCCATCAATACAAATACATATGGGGCGATTTTCGGAGGGCTATGCCATTCCCAAACCTGCTCAACACCAAAAGGGAGAATTCTAGCTCCATGATGTGCTACACTATTGCCTTCTCTCTTAATGTGAGAAAAATTGATGGAATTGAAGTGCCTACTCAACACAAGGATATCTTCAAGTATAGAGTCAAGCTCGGTGCAGTAGATTGTAGCCCTGCATAGTTTCTATACAATCTGATTCAATCACCACATCCCTCAAGCCATACCTTCTGCCCAGCCTTAGAGCCATAACAATACCTTTTGCCTCAGCGATGCTTGGAGACCACCATGCCTGCTGTTTGCGAACAGCAGAAAAAATAACCTCTCCACGATCATCTCTTGCCACAACCTCAAGCCCAACCCATCCTTCACCATTCAAAGCAGCATCAGAATTTAACTTGACCACATTCTCAGGTGGAGCACTCCAATTAAGCTGTTGCTTGGTCTAGCATAATTTCGCTGAACATACTTGCATTGTTCCTCCTCCAATCTTCAAATATTTTTTTTATTTCTCTCTGCCCAAGCACACCACGCTAAAATTGCTCCCCTCCTCTTGAGTTTTTCATCATCTTTCCAGCCTGCAACCATGTCACACATAGTCTTTGTTTCCCCATCCCGTAGCAGGATCCCTGCATCTTCCCATAAATGCTTAAATCTGCTGCACACAGTAAGTCTCGTAGCAGCAGCCCCAATACGGTAAATAATAGTTCTTCTAGAAGAGTTCTCCCAAGCATCTTTCACTTCTTGCTCACAACAGTCATCAAGTAACCAGCATGTTTCAAACTTGAACCCTTTTCTGCCCTTCTTTTGTCTCCCACCAGCCTCCTTCTCGCGAATCACGATTGCACAATGATCAGATTTAACTCTAACAGAATGCTCTACACAGGCATTCGGATAAATTGGTTTCGTGGCCTCTTCTGCACCTTGCTTATGTTTTGATCGATCATACCTCTTCCACCCCTTTTTGCTCTTTAGGGAAATTATCCCTTCTTCAGTTTACATAGGCTCAGGTAAAAACTCTTGCTCCTCTACTCCCTCCTTTTCTTCACATTCCTTCTCCTTAGCATGCAACACTATAGACTTTTCAGGCAAATCAGTATTTACTTCCTCATTCGCCTTCTCTACTCCTTCATTGCTCTTCTTTTCCTCCACTACCTCAGGTTTTCACATTAACGGAATTTGTTTTGAAGAATCCGGACTCTCCAATTCGCTAATGTCTAGAATTTCCTCTGCTGCCTCATTGATACGAAGCGATTTGCATTTATCTGCTAAATCCTCAGCCAGAGGTTAGGGTTTCCTGTCGTCGCAAGGGGGAAAGAGAGCCCTGTCTTTCAAGGGAGTTTTTTTTGGTATGGTGTGACTTGTATCAAAACAAATGGGTTAATTGTCATATTTAGCAAATAAACACCTAATTAAATATCATCATTAAAGAAGGTTGAAATATTACATAACATAATTTCCACAAATTACATACCACTCAATAACATTATACGGAGTACAAAACATGTTTATGCAAATAAACAAAAGGAAACATGCAACTTCTTCGAGTTCCAAATTGGTTCACATTGATAACTTAGACGCTTAGAGCCAAGGGGAGTTGTAAATAGGAGTGACAACAGACTTAACTTGGGTGTACATATAGAGGCCATCTAGTCCATGTTCTCTCCCAAAACCACTCATTTTGTACCCACCAAAAGGTGCATCATAATCAAAACCAAAGTAGCAATTGATCCAAATGGTTCCAGCCCGAATCGACCTTGAGACTGTGTTAGCAATGTCTATGTTCTTGGTTACTATCCCAGCTGCTAATCCATATCTTGTAGCATTTGCTCTTTGTATTCCTTCTTCTACGGTTCTGCCATTGGCCACAAACACAATGTATTTTTTAGTTTGATAGAAGACGTAAAAATCAGATGAATCAAAAGTCGTTCCAAATATAATGTTACTCGTACTTTATTTTAAAAAAGGCCTATTAAAAAGGCCTACAATTTAAATATTTTATGTGCCTAAACGTGGGATAAAACTTACTTGAACTTCATCAAAGACATGACAGGGCCAAAAATTTCATCCGTTGCTATTTGCATATCATCCTGAAGAAAGTGAAGGTAGAATTAGAAACTAAACTCTTATGTAATTATGCTAAATTATTCTTTAAATTTAATAATTATTACTAAATTAATTAAGAATGCAAAAACCTCAAAATGTTACCTTGACATCAGAGAATATGGTTGGGAAAATATAATATCCCTTTTCACCATGACGATCACCACCAACTAGCAGCTCAGCACCTTCTTCTTTGCCTTTTCGAATGTAAGAAAGTACTCTCTCAAATTGCTTCTTATCAACCTACATCATAAAGAATAAATCTTAATGACTTAATCACTATATTAACATTAATTTAATGAATATAAGAAATCATGATTTCTAGAACATAATCATCAACTACAAATTAAACGTACAGGATAATGTTTGATCATGCAACTAATCATTCACAATATGATATGTTACTCGATTTTCTCTATCGCGAATTAGTTGTTTCGTTCAAAATATCATAATTTGTTGAGGTAAATATATACTTCGTATAATGGAGGTGCTATCAAATGATAGTACAATAGTACAAAACAATGCAATATAGTATTAAAATTACCTGAGGTCCTTGTTGAACTTTAGGATCAAAGGGATCACCAACAACCCAAGATTTAGCCTTTTCTGTTAATTTCTTTGAAACCTCTTCGTAAATCCCTTCTTGAACAAGAATACGAGTACTAGCCACACAAATTTCTCCCTGAAATACTTTCAATTAGGACTATATATATAATAACCACAATATGTACAACATTTTTGTAACTCATAATCTGAGATTAAAAAAAAAAAAAAAAAGTTGTTTGATTAATTAAAACAGTGTTTATTAAAATTAATTAGGTGAATGTACCTTATTAAACATGCAGCCTTGAAGAGCAAGCTCAGCTGCAACATCAACATCAGCATCATCAAAAATGATGAGAGGGGATTTTCCTCCAAGTTCTAGGGAGACTGGTTTTAAGTTGCTTGTTGCTGCTGCTTGCATTATAAGGCGTCCTACCTCTGCTGATCCTGTAAAGCTTATCTGCATAATTACGAAAATAAATTACAGTCTGTATCCCTCAGTCCAAACGCTATATGAGTAGTAAAAGTAAATCCAATCACAAATCGTTACTGACTTTGGAAATATGAAGTACATATAACAAAATAAACAATTTTTCCAAACATCCTACAATAAGTAATGCAACACTTTTTCATTCATTTAGACCATTTTAATATTTTATCAATAAAATTATATCACTAGGCATTAAAAGTTATTAATCCTTTAATTAGGTAAATTAAAAGACTTGGATATTACGGAATACCTAAGAATTACTACATGATGAATGAGTAAAGAGTATCATGAAGTTTTTACGTACTTTGTCAATGTCCATATGAGAGGCGACCGCAGCCCCAGCAGTTTCTCCAAATCCATTCACAACATTTAGCACTCCGTCAGGAACACCAGCCTGTTTAATTACCACATTCATTAGAAAGGAAAAAAAAAATATATTATATCTTCAGTAAAATTTAAATGACAGACGCAAATTAAAGAATGAAAATTATAAATTCTAAAGGGCATATTATTTGTACAATTTATGATTAATGTGTATACAATATGTCAATATCCAAGAATACAATATAGTATAAGTTAACAACATTATTACGTAATAATAAATCTAATAATGGTGTAATTACAAGCTATTTTAATTTGGAATTGCAATTATTCATAGTTATTATTTAATATTTTGATCGACCATATAGTTTCAGATTCTTACGTATAAGTTAACAACATTATTACGTAATAATAAATCTAATAATGGTGTAATTACAAGCTATTTTAATTTGGAATTGCAATTATTCAAAGTTATTATTTAATATTTTGATCGACCATATAGTTTCAGATTCTTACGTATAAGATAGAAGCTTTAATAAACAATAACATAGGAACAAGTTAACAACAACCACCTTATAAAAAAAATTTCCTACCTTACTCCTACAAGTCTACGACTACAACAACAAATTGCTTACCATACTAGTAGCATTTATTTTAAGCATATTCTACGTAATAATATTTTAGTTTTAGTTGAAATGTATTCATGTGATCAACTTACAACTTATTAGAAATTTTGCTAAAAATAAATAAATTCAACCACCATATGTTTTTCAGTTTGCAAAAAAAAAAACCCCTTCATAAATCATAACTCCTACTTTTACCATGTCAAAATTAATTCTAGAAATACCCTGAATTCCTTTAAATGATCGGTTTCTACAAGTTAAAGTATTAATTCTACATGTTAAGTATTAATTCTACATACAGTTTTAATATATAGAGCCCTATAGCTAGGAAGTATTGTATAGACGGTCTAATTATACCACAACACAAATCTCTAAAGGCGAAGAAAGTAGTAGCAATAATAATCAAACTAAAATATAGTGTAATTTATATGTAATACGAAGTACAGAGTATTATAAAGTATTGACTTACCAACTTGGAAAGATGAGCATAATAAAGAGCCGATAGTGGGGTTTGCTCCGCCGGCTTAACCACCATGGTGCACCCAGCCGCTAAGGCTGGAGCCACCTTTAAGAAAAACATGGTGGTTGGATAATTCCATGGTATGATGTGGCCCACAACCCCAATTGGCTCTCTTAGGGTGTACCCCTGCATCGCACGTGACAACTTCAATGTCTCTCCATGGATTTTATCTGCTGCTCCTGCGTAGTACCGTAAGCAGTGGGATGCACCTGGGATGTCCAAGACCTTCCCCATTGTAAAGAGTTTGCCTGCATCTATTGAATCCAACGCTGCTAGTTCTTCCACGTGTTCCTCGATTAGGTCCGCAAATTTCATCATAACCCTTCCCCTTTCCTGAGAAGATTAAAACTTAGATCGAATCGACAATCTCTGACATGACATGATAATACAATTGAAATATGACATTATACGAACACGAAATTATAGAAAGAAAAAACATAAATAATTTAGAGTTGGCGTTACAAGACATAAAACAAAAACCTAAACACAACTAGTATTGTTCAATTCTGATCATCATATTATGCTACATCTTAAATAATGACAAAATCAAACCAGATAACATAATGTCGTAGTGCTATAGGTCTAACTTTTGAATAATAAATTAGGCCACCGTAATTAAAAGTTAAAACTACGAGGTGCAAAATTAAATAAACAGTGTATAAAGGTCGTTATAGTCAACCTTTTTAAACAAGCACTTTTATATATGTTGTATTATCAAAAGTCAATCATAAATTTGCACTTACATATCCAGACATACGAGGCCATGGCCCATGGTCGAAGGCTTCACGAGCAACCTTAACAGCCAAATCAATATCTTCCTTATCTCCCTCTGCAACGCTCGCTATCACTTCACCATTCCTCGGATCGATTGTCTCGAAACTTTTTCCTACATCGCATCATTAATTATTAGTCGATAACATTCTCGGACCGACCTAGACTCTTTTTTACTTTAGGTGTATAGAGAGTCGTAAAAGGTAAATAACAAATCGAATTGAAGAAAGAATACATAGACATACTAACCAGAAATTGCATCGACAAATTCTCCATTGATGAAAAGTTTTGTAAACTTGATCTCTGGTATTATGAAGTCGCATGATTCCGAGCTTTCTTTTGACATATCACCCATAATTATTTCCTTGTGTTTTTGTGTAGCTAGGGTACGTGCAGTCTAATAACTTTGCTTGTTTATGATCTATAAATTCTACCACTTAGTTTGTTTTTATAATATATATCCAAACTACTAATAATTCAAGCGGGGAGCTGGCGTAAAATCGGTCAACACTGCCCCTTCTTAAATTTAAAAATTATCATAAATATAAGTGTCACGATTTGCATGATAAGGTGACCTTAAATTGTTCCTAATTTCGATCTTTTAGTTGCAATACTTTGGCTTCTGTTGCGAAATTATATTTTTATTAATTAGGGTTTGTTGAACGTCGTGGTCCCTAGAAGGCTAGAAAGTTAGGAGACCTATGACTATGTTTAACCAATAATAATATTACATGTAGAAACAAATCATATACATATTTGTATGCAACAAACGACGTGTGATCTTGTCTTAAAATTCTCAAATTTATATGTTTATAATACTTGTACATAATGCTAGCTAAGAGTTATGAACTTGTACTTCTAATAAAAGTAAATCTATTATAGTATGATTGTATGAATATACTATGTATAAGGTTTATTGGAGTGGAAAGGGATATACGAATTATTAGTTACTTAGGCCCTGTTCACTTCACCTTAAAAAAATAATACTAAGTAAAAATAATTTCAGTTCAGTAAAAATAATTTCAATTCAGTAAAAATAGGTTCAGTTCAATAAAAATAATTTCAGTTCAGCAGAAATAAGTTCAGTTTAGTTAAATTCAGTAACTTTAAAGAAGAAATATAATAGAAAATCAGTAAAAATAATTTCAGTTCAGTATAATTAATTTCAGTTCAGTAAAAATAATTTAAGTTCAGCAAAAATAATTTCAGTTCAGTAAAAATAATTTCAATTCAACAAAAATAAGGTGAAGTGAATGAGGCCTTAGTCAAAATTAATGAAGTTGATGCCTATGACTTGACCTCCATGAATTTTTTTTAGTGTGATCATATTAGAATATTATCAAATTAATAAATTTAATAGGCACTACATATATAACTACTTATTGTGTAAGCTAAGATCGATAAAAACATACAGTCAACGAGTTGACTTTTACATCTATACCTCCGGAAATCTATAGCAGATCATTTTTTTTTTTTAAGACAGCAGATCATGTGTTTTATTTCCCTTAATTCTACTTATTTGAATTTATCTTAATTTATTTGAATTTTTCATAATTTATTTGAATTTATCAAAACTTATTTGAATTGTAAATTAAACTTGGTTAATTCTTTTTTTTTTTTTAGAGAACTTGGTTAATTCTTATCAAAACTTAATTTTCATTTCTAAATATATCTCAGCTGAGCTCATTTTTTCTTTTTATCTTTTTTTTCTAAAGGTGAACAGAATAGGTTAGCCATTTACAACCTTAATTTATAGCTTATTTTCTCCCCCTAAGTTCATTAATTATTCCTGTAAAAAAATCTATTAATCTTTTCTAGTGATAAGTACCAAAACATATATAATTACTATAGTAATATAATAATGTATGTATATAGTGACAATTTATACATTATACAGAGTACTAAATATATAGATATATACTGTTATGAGGCCATTTGTAACAAACATCACTACAATACATTACATATTCCCAGCTTGTAATCACTTCATTCTGGATGGTAGCTAATTTTAATGAATGAAAAGGACAAATTACCAAACCATATTCTTGTAATAATTTGTGCTGGTAGATCCAAATATACATAATGTTTGATTCTCCTCAAGGACCTGCATCCCCTGCTAGGAAGTCTTAAAATTATACATTTTTTATGTGCGAAACGATCAACAACCATGGTATGATGGGACAATTTAATTTGACCGTCTTTAGGTACGAGTTTATTAGACCTATATTTTTATTTATTTATTTTTTTTTTCATAACTTTTACCAAAGCTACGTAAACATTCACAACTTCTCATGTTTAACCTTAAGTTTATAGTGGAACAATTCAACCAAAAGTTTGCTTAATCTTATGGTTAAAATCCAAGATCGGTTTATTATATACTCTATCAAAATCAACACGTGCTCTAACATTATTTATAAAGTTATTACAGACGTAAAATTTTATTGTAACATTGTTTGTGTGATAATATCATAATTTCGTGTAATATTTGATAATCATAAAAAAATTAAGAAAAATTGATTCTAATAATCCCACCTTTAGTCGGTTCGTTGTTAATAATCCCACCTTTATAGGGGATTTTCATCTATTAGTCTCTTATGACCGGTAACTTGTACATCGGGTAAACTTTTTTTATAATTTAAGTGACACGTGGCACTAGTTAATTGGTCAAAAAATTAAAAATAAAAAAAAACTAACAAAAAATTTTGGTCAAGAAAAAAAAAACCTATTTTTTTTTGTCCCCAACGACCACCTAACCCCCCAACCTCCGGCAACCCCTCCTCGGCTCCTCCCCATCCCCACCGCTGGAACCCCCATCCCCACCGCCGGAACTCCCATTTCCACCCCCTCCCAGCAGCAAATGACCCAGCTCCCCCTAAAACCACCCCGATTTTCAATAAAAAAGTATTAAATAAATAAATAAACCTTCAAGAGCGGTAAAAGGGGGTTTTCAGTGGAGTTTCGGGGGTGTATGGGGGTTTTCAGTGGAGTTTCTGGGGTTTATGGCGGTTTTCGGTGGAGTATTGGGGTTTATGGCGGTTTTCGGCGGAGCTTCGGGGGTATTTAGCTGTGGTGGTTTCGAGTGTGGGTTTGGGTCAGGGGTTGATTTCGGAGGTGGATTTGATTGGTGGGGTGCTTTTTTATTCCGGCCGGCCGTTTTCGGGGGTTTATGGTGGAAGTCGGCCGATTTTCGGTGGGGCTAGGGTAAGGGTTAGGGTTTCACGGTGGGGTGAAGGGATAGCTGATGGGGTTTTGTTTTGTTTTTTTTTTCTTTTAGTTTTTAATTTTTAAACTTTTTTATTTTTCAACCAATTACAAAACGACATGTGGCATTTTAACTTATCAAAATCGGTTACCAACAAGTTAGGGACCAATAGAAGAAGATCCCCTATAAAGGTGGGATTATTAAATAATAATCCAAAGGTGGGATTATTAACAGTGAACCAGTTAAAGGTGAAATTATTAGAATCAATTTTTCCTAAAAATTATATGAGATTGAAATATGCAAATCATAACGCATATTTTGTTTTTTGAAATATTGAAACCCATTTCAAACAAAAAATTCAAATTTAAGATCAAATTAAACCTCACAACTTATACCCTTCTACTCCTTATATTTCATTTACCACTCACACAACATCATTTCATATATACCCTTCTACTCCTTACCTTTCATTTATCAATATCAATTCAAGGAAAGCAATCAGAAAAATCAAAATTAATATTTTCAGCCTTATAATAACTCATTTTTTACAAACTTTACAACTTTCTACACGAAAAACATATTAGTAAACCCACGAACCCAGCAGCAAGAGAGTCGTCCGTATTCATTAGGCACGTAAATTTGGGTATACTTTCTTCTTGATTTCTATTTATTGTTTCGACCAAGTTCTATTTATTGTTTCGACCAAGTACTACCGCAGATTTTATTTTAACCGTAAAAAAAGTTATGCATGATAATATTTGTAAACCTACGAACCCAACAAGAAAACTTAAAGTTCGTCAAATCCAGCTCGTGTTCATTTGGCACACAAGTTCGGCTAAACTTTCATCGTCTTTGTTCGAACCAAGCACAAGCGCAAATTTTAGCAGTTTCGGAGGGTGGATTCGCTCCGTAGTTAGATCAGGTCCAAGTTGTTCGCTGGTGTTCGAAACTCTAAAGTTGTTAAAATAGAAGGTAATTTATGTTGTCGGTCTTTTTTTGCGCTTTTTACAATATAGGTTTTTTTTAAAACCACTTACAATTTAGGTTTTTATTTTACGGGTGTTTGCGATATTCAATTTTACAATTTAGGTTTCCATTTTACAGGTGTTCGGGTAAATCTCAGATAAATTTTTGATAAAGTATAAATATAGTTTCTTGTGTGTATGTAGAAAATCCGATCATGATATCTTAGAGAGTAGATATTTGTAGGTAAATTTTCTCTGAGCATAAATAATATATGGAGGGAGAGTGTATAGTATCGGAGTATTGGAAGATATGTATAGTAGGTAGATACATGCCCCGAATGATGTCTAATACCTTATACTTATAGGTGATGTATGGAGGTGGAAGAAGTGTGCATAATCTTCTATACACGTATTCTTTAAATTCTCCACATAAATCTAGAACTTTCATGAGCATTAACCAATTCTAGAGTCTTCCACAATTCTCCGTCAATTTCTCAATATAGTTGATTTTTCTAGAAATCTTAAGAAACCTTGAAATGTAATAACACTAATAAGTTGGGTTATGGAATTTGGGGTGAAGAAAAATGTGACAAATTCAACTAACCTAACAATTTCCATATAAATGTACTCGTCGTATGAATCCAAAAGATATCTAATATGTTAGACTCAATAACCCAATCGACATCCGGGATGAAGAAAAATGTGACATACTCAAACTCATTTGACGAGGACGCAATACCAAACCGAGGCTGAATGATGAATCCACTTGACGTGTATGGCTTTCACATACGCCATTAAGGGTCTCAAGAACGGTCTTCATAAGAATCCTCCAAATGTTGAAATTGTTCTTGCCATCAAATTGAACTTATTATCAATCTCGAACTTCCTTAGAGAAAGACATGTTTAATGTATAAACACTCTAATTAACCTTGGCTCGGATACCACTTGTTAGAGGACCAACTCAGCTAAAAGTTTAAACTTATAGTTGAGGGCCAGAAATATGTTTGATACTTTATCAAATACGATAAGTCAATCGATCACATGGATATAGCAAATACGAGCTGTTGGTAATTGAAACCTCGTATATTCTCTCACTTTGTACTAATTAAAGTTAAATTTTGATATTAAGATTGATGTTCGTTAATGAAAATTTATTTTTATTGCACCACAATAAGCTTAAGACAGTGTTTATCACCAATACGGCAATACTATGACTTTAAAGTATATGGATGTAGTATAATGAAGTGCTTTTATTTGCGATATAAGAGTTTTGCTTATGTTGCCAAAAATAATAATAATAATAATAATAATAATAATAATAATAATAATAATAATAATAATAATAATAATAATAATAATAAACAACGAGCTTTGCTTAGTTGATTGATATAGTACGTAGTACATTTTATTTTAATGTAATAATTGTTTTATTTTTTATACTACTATTTTTGCTTTAGCATTGTATGCAATATGCCTATATACATATAGTGATGGTAGTATTGAGGAATTTACCAAAGTCTTGGGAATTAATTAAGAATTTTGTACATAATATTAAAATGGGTTCAATTATGTAGACGTATAACTAGGCCCATTTAATTCCAATTTATCTGCTCACCTCGCTTGTGTCATGTAGGATACTAGGATTACCAACACCCTGGTGTACCATGCGCATGGTACACCTAGATCAAAACGACAAACTCAAATGAATAAAACGCTGGTTTATTATAGCAGAGAAAGGCAAAAAGAACATAAGGTATAGATACAAAGAACGCGACATTAAATATGAATATTCAATTTCCTTTAATTTAGGAAAAGATAATTACTAATTGATCTTTAATTACCCACATATTAGCTGTCATATCTTTTCAAAATATTTGACTTTTTCAAATTCATTTTTTCTCTCTCTTCATATTATTTTATCCAAAAAAAAATTCAAACTTTTCCAAAACTAGGCCCATTTAATTCCAATTTATCTGCTCACCTCGCTTGTGTCATGTAGGATACTAGGATTACCAACACCCTGGTGTACCATGCGCATGGTACACCTAGATCAAAACGACAAACTCAAATGAATAAAACGCTGGTTTATTATAGCAGAGAAAGGCAAAAAGAACATAAAGTATAGATACAAAGAACGCGACATTAAATATGAATATTCAATTTCCTTTAATTTAGGAAAAGATAATTACTAATTGATCTTTAATTACCCACATATTAGCTGTCATATCTTTTCAAAATATTTGACTTTTTCAAATTCATTTTTTCTCTCTCTTCATATTATTTTATCCAAAAAAAAATTCAAACTTTTCCAAAACAAAACGTTCAAATTTGTACGGGATAAGTTTTTTTTTTTTTTTTTCACTAAAAAAAAACGTTCATATATTTTACTTAAAATTCTTTCTTTATATTTAACTAGATTTAAACCCGTGCGATGCACGGATTTTATTCATAGTTAAACTTAACATTTAATATTCAATCTAAATAACAAAATATTAATACATAATATTACTATTTTACTATTTTTTTTAATCTTATACAATTAAGGTTCACACATATACAAACAAATTTTAAATTTTCCAGAATTTCATCATCTTTTGTAAATCAATCGTTGATTGTGCCAGTTGATAAGTTAAACCCACCCTCTTGAATTGCAAAATTAACATCCTTGCAAAATTAACACTTATGAGTTATGACTGACTTTATAATTATTATCACTGTTCATCGCATTCGAGAATTTCATGGTGTTCAATTTCTAAAACATGCTTCACTGCCTGCAAAAGTTTTACATTTATTTGTGTGGAACATAAGATTATATAGGATTGAAAAAATACTAGATTTAAAGTGGTGATAAAGTTTATTAGATATGATAAATTTTATTAACGTAAAACTTAATCTTTTGGCCAAATACATGATAAATGATAAACATTTTTTTTGTTGGAAAAAGAGAAAGGATATATTGTTAGTTTCAATGATTTTTTTTTTCTTATTTTTTATAATTGAACGTGATTTCATATTTTTTTTATTCGTATTTTTTTAAAAAATATTTTATTATAATCCTTCTCATTTCATTATATTTTTAACTAATCCAATTTTTAAAAAAAAAAATCAATTGCATGTGAATTTATTTTTTAAGTTTAATAGTATTTTTGTATATATATGAAATAAAATAAATTGTTTCTTTTCTCTTATATAAAATTTTCAATTTTAAAAGATTTTAATAAATTTAAACCTTAATTTAATTTTAGTCCTACGTGGCGCTTTAAAATAATAATCATACGTGGCATAATTTTATACGTAACACTCTAAAAATATTAATCCTACATGGCGCTCTAATAATTTTAAAAAATTTAAAATTCTACGTGGCTCTTTAAAATCTTGGGAAAAAAAATTCTCTTTTATATATTAGATATTAGATAGATTAGTTTAGATCTTGTAATGGTCGTCTAAATTATGATCATGTAATGTCTTGTAAGGTTCATTAGATGATTTAACAATGTTCTTTATCGGAAAACAGGATATACTTATATTTGTTTATAATGTATAATTTGTTAATAATAATATAGAGTATTATTTTTGCATGTTCGTTATTATATCATATCTTCTATGTTCTTTATTCGATCTTTTGGTAAATTATTTTAAATATGCATGTTCATCAATTGTAATCATAATATACTTTTACTATCCCATAATGTTCATGTGAATTATTATTTAAAATTTGGCTTTTGATCATAGTGGTTAATTAACGCATTGTTTATTACATGATAGTATCCATGTTCTTTATTAATAACATGGATGTCCTTTATCAATATTATGGATGCTCTTTATATCTGAAAGTCCATCATTGTCCCAAAAACTTCTCATCAACCTCGGTAATCCTGATTACAAAAAAGAAAAAAAAAACATAATTATTAGATGATATTCTAAATTAATATAAAAAAATGTAAATTCAAAGAACATAAAAGAACACAAGGATAAATCTAAAAAATGTGGATAACAAAATAATACTCGTAATAATAATATAAGGGTTAACCAGACAAACATGTCTACATATAATACTCTCTGTTTCTCAAAAAATAAATAAAAAACAAATTAAAAGAACATGAACATGAAAGTATAAGAATATACTATTAAGTAAAAAGAACATTCTTGATATTATTGAAACCCAAAGAACATTTTTAATTTACGTATATCTTAAAGAACATAATTGGTAATGTAAAGAACATATGGTTCAAACTCAAAGAGATATTAATCAAACTAAAAAGTACATATTTCATTTCATTTTAAAAAAAAATATGGATCGAACAAATAAAAAAACATTCATTATAATTTGAAGAACATAACACAAATTTAGAAACAAATGCAAAAACTAAAAATAATTGAAAAGTAGATACTTTCAATAATGAATTTTTTAACAAGGATCAATGAACAATTATAAATTATCATCAACAAACATCAAAATTTTGAAATTAAAAATAAAAATAAATTAATCTAAAATTACCATTTATTAATTGGGTCACGAAATCCTCATGAAATCACTATCATTTTTCTCTATGTAAAATTTTCTCTCTCTAAAAAAATTCTCTTTGTATCTCATAAATTAAATTATGGAGATTAATATTTTGGAAGCTATAAATGTGGAAAAGAATTAACAAATTCCTTTAATTAAGGAAGACATATTTAAAAACTTAACAAAAAAAAAAAAAAAAAAAAAAAAAAACTACTTCGGTAGTTTTTCATCCACGTGTACCAAGCATGGTACACCTGGGTGTATTATAAAAATTTCACTCTTTTGAGTCTTTTCCATGTGAAAATACAATTCATTTTTTTCTTACTGGTCACACTTCGTATTTTAGTAAAACACTTAATAGACTTGGAGTTAAGTATAAAATAGGGGGCTCAATTCTTGTAAAATGTGGGGAAAGGGGACTCTATTTAATTTACAGAGGAAAAGGGGATTGGAGTTAAATTTTCGGTGGTAGGGATATTTTCAGGTGACTTAACTCACCTTTAACCCAAGAAGAATTAAGTCCCTTGTAAAGAATTGAGTCCCCTCATTATTGCCTTGATTAAACCAGACAAATTCAATCCCTTCATTAATCATTCCTGCTAATTGTTTAAAAAATATAGCCATTTGAAATTAAGAAAGTGCAACAGCAATACAAAAGCTTTGTTCTTGAAATTTTTTTTAATGTTTGTTATCCAAAAAAAAATAATTCTTTCAACAACAACAACAACAACAATAATAATAATAATAATAATAATAATAATAAGCAAAAGCATGTTCTTCATCTCTCTGGTTTGTTGCTTATTTGTCTTGCATTTGTAGCAGAAACACACATTGCAATTTTAGTAAAGGCTTGTAGAGCCCTAAAATTATAAATAAATAAAAATAAAATAAAGAAAGAAAAAATTGATTATCGATATGTCCTGTGTATATTGCAACAGAAGGTAATTAAGGAGAGTTTCTAAGATAGTCAAGCATCCTTTTATGAGATTTCTAATATGCCCAAACTATAAAAAAGCGGATGGGTGTGATTATATTAGGTGGTAGGTGGGTTGATAGTCCACGTGAGTCAGGGTCATGATTTTAAAGAGAAATGTGGAGTTGGAAGGTCGAGGATGTAATGAAGATGATGAAGAAAATAAACATTCAAAGTATTGTAATTCTATGCCTTATTTTTGTTCCAAAAAGAGGAAGGAACTCAAAAAAAAAATGACCAAAGGGACTCAATTGTTTAACCAAGAAGACTCAATTCTTTCCCTTATTTAATTAAAACCCACCGAAAACCCAAACCCATTCTAGCCCAGTCCATTTTCCCTCTATAAAATAAATAGAATCCCATTTTTCCACATTTTGCAAGAATTGAGTCCCTTGTTTTATACTTAACTCATAGACTTGAACCCAAAATTTATATTTTGGTGAGGCACATGTCACCCATGCCCCTTATTAGATAGACCATTGATTATATTCCAATGCATGGAATGATGAAATCACCGAGGGGGGAAAAAAAAAAAAAAAAAAAAAAAAAACCCTGGTCACCGATTAAAACCTTATTATCAATTACGAGTACTATGTTTACAGCCAAGGGGAGTTGTGAAGAGGGGTGACAACAGATTTGACTTGAGTGTAAATATATAAGCCATCAAGTCCTGATTCTCTCCCAAAGCCACTCATTTTATACCCGCCAGTCGGAGCATCGCAATCGAACCCAAAGTAGCAATTGATCCAAATGGTACCAGCACGAATAGATCGTGAAACGGTGTTAGCTATGTCTATATTCTTTGTCATGATCCCAGCTGCTAACCCATACCTTGTAGCATTTGCTCTTTGTATTGCATCATCTACAGTCCTGCAATTTCTCACAAGAAAACAACGATTAATTAAATTTCTCCCAAAATTTAGTATTGCTTTAGGGTGTCACCTTTCTAATTTTATCATTTAAAGATGTTTACACCTTTGGAAATTCATATACTAAACTCACTTGAACTTCATCAAAGACATTACAGGCCCGAAAATTTCATCCTTTGCTATCTGCATACCATCCTGCAAAAATTTGTGATGGAATTAGACTAAACTCGTAAATTTATGCACTAATAAGCTAAGACCTTGTCAACAAAAATATGCTCATCACAACATATTGCTTGGAATGTACCCTATTAGTAATACTTTAGGGTATGTGTATTTTTGGTTTGCGACATGATTACTTGATGAGGCTAGCTAGCTTAGCAAAGTTACCTTGACATCAGAGAATATCGTCGGGGTAATGTAGTATCCCTTTTCACCAGATGGCTCGCCTCCAACTAATAAATCAGCGCCTTCTTCTTTTCCTCTCTTGATATATGAAAGTACTCTCTCAAATTGCTTCTTGTCAACCTAAAAAGTGGTAAAAAGTACCTTGGTATGTAATCAAAAATTTCCATAGTAAAACCAAGTATATGGCAACACGGTGCTAGTAATAGTGTAGCAATGATCGATGCAAAACAAGTCACCTGAGGTCCTTGTTGAACATTAGGGTGAAATGGATCACCAACAACCCATGATTTAGCCTTTTCTGCTAGTTTTCTTTTCATTTCCTCGTATATCCCTTCTTGAACAAGAACACGGGATCCTGCCACGCAAATTTCACCCTAAACAAACAAAGATGAAAACATACTTTATATCATTTCCAAAAAAACAGGACAACCATTTTCATAAATCAACATTTCTTAGAATATCATGCCTTATTGTAGAGGCAGCCCTGAATAGCATGGTCAGTTGCAGCATCAATATCGGCATCATTGAAAATGATGAGAGGGGATTTCCCTCCTAGTTCCAGGGTAACAGGTTTTAAGTTGCTTGTTGCGGCTGCTTGCATTACAAGGCACCCTACTTCTGGAGATCCTGTAAAACTTAACTGAACATAGTAAAATCAAAATCAGCCATTTTCTCACAATTTGATATGCATGATAAGTAAGAAAAAACAAAGTTAAAGGGACTCTTTAAGTGTCTTATAATCAAACTGTACATACTTTATCAACGTCCATATGTGATGATATTGCAGCTCCGGCAGTATGTCCATATCCATTCACAACATTTAGCACTCCCTCCGGTAAACCAGCCTACTCAACATGCCAAATAAACACATAACAGAGAACTGAGAAATAACAGAGTACTTGTTCAAGTATTACAATTCAATTAAAATTATTTCGTTTTGTAAACATCACCTAGCTAAGTTGGTAATGTCGCCTTAAAGTGGTACATACTCAAGACCTCAGTACGTCCTCAAATCAAATTCCGTTCACATCACTACCCTTTAATTTGTGAGTGTTTGTACCCCAAATAAAAAGTAGTTTCATACATAGTACGAATTGAAGTATATGTGTTGGCTTACCAGCTTTGAAAGATGAGCATAGTAAAGAGCGGAGAGTGGAGTTTTCTCAGAAGGCTTAACCACCATAGTACAGCCAGCAGCTAATGAAGGAGCCACCTTGAGAAAAAACATAGTAGTCGGAAAGTTCCATGGAATGATGTGGCCTACAACGCCTATGGGCTCCCTTAGGGTGTAACCCTGCATTGAACGTGACATCTTTAACGTCTCACCATGGATTTTATCAGCGGCTCCTGCATAGTATCGTAGGCAGCGAGCTGCTCCAGGGATGTCTTGGGCCTTCCCTGCTCCAAAGAGTTTTCCTGCATCCATTGTATCTAATGCAGCAAGTTCTTCCACATGCTCCTCGATTAAGTCTGAAAATTTCATCATCACCCTTCCCCTTTCCTAAATATTGTAGGAAAAATCAAATGATCATGTTATATTGTTACATTTATATAAGATCAGAACTAAATAACTATGTTCTTTAAGCATATATACTAACATATCCGGACATCCGAGGCCAAAGCCCGTGATCGAAGGCTTTCCGAGCCGCCTTGACAGCCAAATCAACATCTTTTTGATCTCCTTCAGCCACCCTTGCTATCATTTCACCATTTCTTGGATCAATTGTCTCTAAGGTTTTTCCTGTATACTTTATTAATCAATGTTACAGGCTTACAGGTTACAGCCATATATTGTATTCTAATGTTTATAATTATCTGAAAAAAGAAAATCAAGAATAAATTTCAAGAGTTTAATTCATTAGGAAATGGTTATAATATTATATAGCATTATAGCTCAATTGCGTCTAGTAGTGCTAAAGAGATTGAAGATTCAATAATTATCTACTGGTTTTTACTAATTCACAACTAATTAGCTCCTCATATTTTTGTTTCCAAGATCCGGTCACTATAAGAAGAACGACCCTACTAAACCAGTAACTCTAAAAAGTAAGCCCACTACACAAGTCAAGTTTGAGGATGCATGAACCATATGCAAAGGAGGAAAGTTCGGTTCACAAACAAGGCCCAAGGAGATTCCATACCAAAACCAATTAGCGATAGTAGGAGTAATTCCTCTATCATAGAGTGGATTGATCTCTCATTTTTCTCTAATGTGGGATACTCACAGGTGAGACTAATATCAGTTTCAACAAATTCATTGACAAACTAACAAATTAAAGATTAATATGTATGCATACAAAGTATCTAAGACATAATATTCAAGAATAAATAATGATTGATAATCATAGATAACTGAAAAGTGAAAACAAAAATAAGGTATGTAGGAAACTAGGATCGGAATTAATTGACCTGAAAAGGAATCCACAAATTCTCCATTGATGAAGAGCTTGGTAAACTTGATTTCTGGGATTTTAACGCACGAATTTGAGCTTCCATTTGAATAATCTCCCATTTTCTCACTCTCTAACGTCTAATTTGATCAATGAAATTCTTCACCTCTATATTTTGATCTTAGCCTTTTTTTTTTTCTTTTCTTTTTTTTTTTTTATAATTTGTACATATAATTTGATCAATGAAATGAATATTACAAAATATGTGAAAGTGTGAAACAAAATAGGGCGAGAAGATAAGCTTTCTGCATGCAATGCAAGTGTGTGTTTCTGTTTATTACTCGTAAGTCGTAACATATATTAAAGGATAGATTATATTAGGGCTTAAAGGCCTTGTCCCATTTATAGTAACGCTGGTAGTAGTTGTAGTACATATCATAACATTACACAGAATAAACTTATATTAGAACTATTGCTGAGGAAATTAAAACATCTAGTCGTCATATTCTTATACATTAAAGGATAGATTATATTAAATGATAGAAATGAAACGGAGAAAGTATCGTAAGTAATACTATCCTTTTATTGCAACTAATAAAAAACGAAAGTACTTTGTAGTAGAAGAGTTTGCCAAATTTATCCTTAAGCTCGGCTGATTTCCCACAAGTGTATGTATCTTACGTACTACAAATTTGTTACTTAACTTCTATTACGTGTTGTTGATGCTGGAAAAACTGTAAATGGTGACTGCTGGTTTATGTTTGACTTTCTTCTTTTAATTTTGGGTGTTTGTCCAAACTGAATTATGTTTCAATTAATGACTTGAATCGAACTTGGTTAGATCACGTTTGACATACATATCAACTTATAATAAGTGCATCATGCAACCTTAATATATCATTTCAAATTAAATAGTTTCAATTCATAATTAAATCACATCAAAACTATGGAGAAAAATTGATACATTTGTTAGTTACGGAGAAAGAGAAACAAGTACATAAACTTATATTGATGAACTACGATACAATTATCAATTATGTAGTATTTATACATTGTACATATATAACTACAAGCACAATCTTGTTGATACTGCATTACACAAGAAATTAATTCACCATTATTTGTGTACCATAACTCTTTCTCAAGAACAAACTTACAAAAGCCTATAACTTTTTTTCTTCCCGGGAAAATGTCCTAAGCCAAATATTACAAAGAAACTAAAGTTTTATTAGTCATCCCTCAATTTATCCCCCAGTTGTATATAAAAGGCGTTCATCTTCGTCGTATAAAATTTATAGCCAAGGAGAGTTGTAAATAGGGGTTACAACAGACTTGACATTGGTATACTTGTACAAAGCTTCCATCCCTAAATCTCTGCCAAATCCACTCATTTTATACCCACCATAAGGACAATCAAGATCAAATGCAAAATAACAGTTGATCCATATTACTCCGGCTCTAATCGATCTTGACACTGTATTTGCTATGTCGATGTTTTTAGTGACTATCCCTGCTGCTAGCCCGTATTTCGTGCTATTTGCTCTCTCTATTGCCTCCTCGATAGTCCTGCAGTTTGGTAGGCCACAAGGATATATGTTTAGTCGCGATGGCTTATGACCTTGTTCATTTAGCTATTATCAAATGCCCAATATCAACACTTAAGAAAGGACTAATTGTTTAAGAGTTTCAATCAGTAAAATTAAACTTACTTGAATTTCAACAATGACATGACAGGCCCGAATATTTCCTCTTTAGCTATCACCATATCGTCCTAAAGACATTCAAACACAAATAATCAGAACTCGTAGAACTATAGGCAGCAATAGATCGATGCATTAACTTGTTAATACAGAGTAAGGTTGGTTAGTTACCTGAACATTTGTAAATATGGTAGGCTGAATGAAGTAACCCTTTTCTCCATGTCGACTACCACCACATAACAAGTTAGCTCCTTCTCGCTTCCCATGCTCTATGTACGAAAGTATTTTCTCAAATTGCTTCTTGTCAACCTACACAACGATACATAAGCATCAAACGATTAGTATATTAACACAAAATTTGACATTGAACTAATTGATCAAGGAACTGATGCATATGAACAAAATTTACGTAGTTATGTAAATTGCACCTGTGGTCCTTGATGAACATTGTCATCAAAGGGGTCTCCCACAATCCAATTCTTAGCCTTCTCTGCCAATTTCTGGACTACTGCATCATGAATCCCTTCTTGAACGAAAACTCGAGAGCCAGCTACACAAATCTCTCCCTGCAAGAGTAACAAAAATAGGATCAAACTAAGGATAGGTTATCTTAGAGTTTGATCATGAACCAAAAAAAAAAAAAAGCTACAAAACACATTTACCTTGTTATAGCAAATGCCGCGGAGGGCAAGATCAGCAGCAACATCAACATCAGCATCATCGAAAATCATAACAGGGGATTTTCCTCCTAATTCAAGGGAAACTTGCTTTAAGTTGCTCATTGCTGCTGCTTGCATTACTAGTCGTCCCACTTCTGTAGACCCTGTAAAACTAACCTGTATAAACATTCAAAATAACATTTAGTTTTTGACCATTTTAGTAAGATTTTCGACAGTGGTAACTTCATCAAACTTAAACTTACTTTGTCAATGTCCATATGGGATGCTATGGCTGCACCAGCAGTCGGTCCAAATCCGGTGACCACATTAATGACTCCATCAGGTATACCAGCCTAATTCAAGAAATATTTATAAGTAATCAGTTTATTAGAGCATAAACTCCGTATATACCCATGTCAAGATGTCGAAGATGATATGCAAAAACATACTTATCAGAAATCCCTTACAACATACGAAGTAATATCTTATAAAAACGTACCAACTTGGAGAGGTGAGCATAGAACAAAGCCGAGAGGGGGGTTTGCTCAGCCGGCTTAACCACCATGGTGCAGCCAGCAGCCAAGGAAGGAGCCACCTTCATGAAATACATACTTGTTGGAAAATTCCATGGTATAATGTGGCCTACCACTCCTACAGGCTCGCGTAGAGTGTACCCCTGCAACGCACGTGACATCTTCAACGTCTCACCATGAATTTTATCGGCTGCTCCTGCATAGTACCTTAGATTACTTGCACCACTAGGGATGTCTATCAATTTTCCCATGCCAAATAGCTTCCCTGCATCAATTGCATCCAATGCTGCCAATTCTTCGGCATGTTCCTCTACTAACTCTGCATATTTTATCATCAATCTTCCCCTTGCCTTCATTTAAGCACCCAAAATTAGTTAATGTCTTAATGCCAGAGTATGTAATTGTACATTAATTATTACATGAATTTCGTCCATATATGATACGAGTACGTAGTATATGTGACTATGTGAGCATGCTAATAAAAAGTCGAATTTAAAAATATTATACCAAGCATGCTCTAAAAGTATTGACATGTACGTTAAATCATGTCAATACTAAATTGTTGCATATACTATTCATCAGTAACTCAGTAAGTTTAAACTTTAAATGATTGATCATTCGAGGGGCTAAAACGCCTAATAGGTCGTCTTATTCTCTTCTTTGATCACACTGTCTTTAACCTTTACTTTATGAGGGGCTTAATCCTTTACTTTAATCTCACGTATCTTAATTATACTGTATTGTCAATTTGATGAAAGTTGTTGAAAAAGTAAATCTTACATAACTCAATTGAACCCTACACACCTATTATTAGACTATCATTTAGCCATTTCCATGTAAAAATACTTATTGGGGGAGGGGGGTGGCCGGTGAGGCATGAGAGATTATGTTATCCAATTACAATTTACAACTGTATGTTTATATACTCACTATCTGTTCAAATATGCGCAACGGTTTGAATTTTACATTATTTATACACTAATTCTAACTTAATTTTTTGTTTTTTACTAATTTAATGTACAAAGGAAATTTACTTTCTTTTGCTTATTCAGTTAGTAATAAACAATTAAAAACATTAACAATAAATGTTGTACATTAACAAACGTGATTAGTTTAAAAAATAAATAAAGAAAAGAAAAAATAAACATTAGCAAACTTATCACTAAAACCACAATCTCGATAATTTTAAAACCTGAAAGGAAATACTCCATATTTCCAAGATAAAATCCTGTAGGAGAAAGGTCAACAATTATAAGAGTGATAATTTAGGAGGTGCGACAAAAGAAATTATAGGAATATGATAAATTAGGAGGTGTGACAAAAGAAATTAAAGAGCACAAAGTCATATTTTTGTATATATGTTATTACTATATGAATATGAGTGTTATGTATGGTAGGACTTACATGACCAGACATACGAGGCCAGGGACCATGGTCAAATGCATCACGGGCAGCCTTGACAGCTAAATCTATGTCCTCTTTGTCTCCTTCGGCTATCTTCGCTACCACTTCGCCATTTCTTGGATCTATAGTTTCAAACAATTTTCCTGCATTTTTCACATACGTATCCCTCTCAATTATTAATCAAACATGTCACATGAACACGATTCTTAAAATAAACAACGAAATTGTCACTTCCATCTTATCACTTTGGTAGGATTTAACTTGTCCATGCTACCAACTAACAATCTTTGATTTTACACTCGAGTGTACAATAGATTAAATTATTCAGTATCTGATTATTAAATTTTATCTTCAAGTTTTACCATTTTTTTTTAATTGGATTCTTTGTAAAAGCTAGTCTTTGTTATTTGAAGAAAACGATGGTAGAAAAGAAGAGATATGCGTTGGGACCAAGGTATTAAGGGAACTTTTTATCCTAAAATCAAGTCATTTCTATTATAATTCAATCTTGTTATCATCACAAACACCGTAACAAATAAGGGTGGAGGATTGTGCTGATGACCTAATCTAAAAAGTCAAAAGACCCTAAAAACCTTACTTTTTATGATTTTTTGTTTGTTCATTTGGTGTAATATTCACGAGTGTCAAGTTAGACACTTGGACTAAGGAGATACATCGAGATTCAAATCTCAAACCTCTAAAATTTTACAAAGTGGACGGGTTAAATGAATTAATATAGTGATTTTCTATAATACATCAACAAATAGAGTAATTGGAATAATTGCATGCTCCAAAGCCTTTCCCTTCCAAGACCTAATATAAATTCATATTTGGGGCAGACCAGCTAAACCACTTCTAGCTACTACTACTACTACTAGTTAACGATAATTGGTAACTCTATTAATTTATGCAAAAATCAATGCCAATTTAGTAGTAGGTTAAAATCTAATTATATTAAAAGTCATCGTTAATTGTGTGGGTCTACAAATACCACATGCATCTATTTAGTAACATTAAAAAAAAAAAAAAAAAATAATAAAAACCACATGCAAAAAGAGATAACCTTAACTATAATATAAATTACGTATTATAGAAAGTTTTTAATAAATTTAGATTTGTCCACTCTATTTGTCTACTATGACAAGTATTAGACTCATTTGCTCAATGGTCCACCTTTGAATTTACTCCGTCTTTAATTGGTTGGCTTTAATTTTCTTCCTACTCCGCATCATTTAAGGATCCAATAAATTTTTCTTCAAAAATAAAGATCCAATAATTTTGAAAATGATTGATTTATTTAGCTTGAATTCTAAAAATATTTCGAATTATTATCGTCATATGCCATCTACCACAATAATTAACCCATGCTAAAGAATGATCTAAAAACATTTTTATAATAGATTTTAATTAAGATGATATATTTAATATAATTAAAAATAAATTCCAAATTCATAAACAAAAGAAGAATTATTAGAGGTCATTCCAAGGCTATACAATAAAATAATAATAGTATACTCTAACTTGCATTATTGTGTAGATTCTCACTCTCATTGAAGGCCGAAACTAATTTGGCATCTTAATGAATAATTGAAGAGATTAAGAACTAATTCTCAAATTATTTATTATTTGTTTTAAGGAAAAAAAATGTTTCGGGAATATATGTTGATACAAGTTGAAGATGTGAGGTGACATATATGTTTACCAAATTCCAACATACAAAAAAAAAATGCACACTACGTACTAAATTAATAAGGAATAATACTTCCTTCTTTTTTTTTTTTTTTTTTTTTTTATGAGACATGGAAAAGAACTTTTAGAAACGAATTAAGGAAAAATTAGGGAAAAGGTTTATTAAAGAAAACGAACCTGAAATGGCATCGACGAATTCTCCATTGATGAACAGCTTAGTAAACTTAATATCTGGGATTTTAGAGGAGGTTGATTTTAAGCTTCCATTAGTTTTAGTACTCATCTTTCTCTTTCTTTCTTTCTTTTTCTCTCTATGTTTTTGTTTCTCTCTCTAAATACTCTGTTTTTAGTCTGTTTTGGAATACTACTAGTTAATGTGGACTCTTATAAGCTTCACTTAATTTTGATTTTGGTTAATAATGTTACATCATTATATACGTGTGCCTTTTGTACACCGTATCTGATGCTTACTATTAAAATGCTATTTTATTGATGTTTAATAAAAACAATATTGTATTGAATTGATTGCTAACAAACAAGATTGCTTAAACTCATTTTGTCTTTATTTTTCAAACACAGAACATTACATTTATTAAGATTTGTTAGTCTGTTAGATCTTAGATGGACCTTCCTCACAAGTGTTACAACTTTTTTTTTTTTTTGTTCATATACTGTACCTGCCTCACAACTTGTCAAAGTCTAATATTTCTTTCACTTTTAAAAAATCCGTCACATTACCAATGAAGAGTTGGACTGATGGGTTTGGCCTATGGTAGAAAACTAGAAATTGTGGGTCTGCCTACCTCACATGATTATCACGTTGGCTTTTGATATCATGTTGAATGATCAACTTAGCTAAAAGCCTAATCTGATGGTTGAAGTCCAAGATCGATTTATTTATTTTATTACGGAGTAATGCCCTTGTAGCTCATTTGAATTTTTTTTGGACATAGTGGCAAAGAGCGAGTATCCATGCATAAAAAGTCATACTATTAAACTTTTAAAGCACAGATTATCTCAATTTGAATTTAATACTATTCATATAAATTACTTTGACCAATATCGGTGATTAATACATACGATTAAACATAGTCACGTAAGTACTTGTTAAAATTATATTAATGTATAATTTCCGAACACCCTACCAATTTTTTATAATCTATACTAATTAATAATTAAAAATATCATGTCCGTAAATCTTAATGGGGTCGTGGTCTCTTGGAATGTAGTATGTGCAAATGTGAATTGTCCATAATGTGCAATTGTGCAGCGATGACCATGATGGTGCTGAATATGAGGCGTGACACAGGGAACATGAATGCAGTGAGCGAGAAAATTCGACGGAAGCTACACTTGTTTGAATAAGTATGATGCCTTAATAATGCAACCGTTTATTTTTAAACTATCTCTAAGGAAAAATACTAATGCAACTTTCTTACTTTCATAATGCATGTAACTCGATTTGTAAAATGGTACACGGTCTATGGTTATATCATGGGCCAGGCTAGGGAAAAAATTATTGGCCCGTTTTGAACTATAGTTTTGGTCCAAAAAAATTTGATAAAAAGAGGGAAAAAAAAGTCTTTGAAAGTTGTCCAAGTTCTAAACATGAACTTCCCATCAAATAAATAAAAGTATGGAAAATTCTATACCGTATCCCTCAAGTTTCAAAAATTATGTATGATGGCAGCTTAAAAAATTTGTTCTATAAAATGACACCCAACTTTATATAATACATATAGTGATCCTATTAATCTAATTTCATGGCTAACCTATCATTAAACACCAAATTACTAACCTATAGAATTTCTCTAAAAGTATTTATAAAATTTTTAGGGAAATTCTATACAGTATCCCTCAAATTTCAAAAATTTTAAATTACAGTTAAGTATTATTCATGATTTTTTCATTAATGATAATTGTGAAGCTTGATGAATGATTATTAATTAGCTACACTAAATAAATTTATTGGATTTTATTTTTTGTAAATCATTTATAAACTATGTTTGTTTGAGAGGATAATTGATGGGATAAGGATTTAAAATTTTTCATGTCTCATTATCTCTTATTTGTTTGAGAAGAAATAGAAGGAACGGGAATTAAAAATGGCTAAATTAATCTATCTTCTTTATAACAAGAGAGGCAGTATAAAAGTTGGGGATAGAGTTGAGAGGTAAAAAAAACAAATTAATGCTTTAACCCTCTATGTTTTTTATAGTGTTACACTTTGACTTTTTTTCACTATTCACATAATGGTTTTGACTTGATTATTTTACTAACATATTATTAAAAAAAATAAATGTTATTATATAATATATTGTTAATTCTTACTAACGTATACTTTCATTATAAAAGTATCAATTTTCCTAAAAATCTACTAACATATAATTAGATTAATTATTGGACCTTCTCGACATGCGTGTTTAGTTAGAATATAACACTTAAAAAAAACACATAGGGAGTAAGTTTTTTTTCCTACTTATCTAAATTTAGTTCTCCGCTTATACTAATTGAATAAGTCTTTGTGTACAAAGGGTGTACATTAATTTTATTGTAAAACGGTCAGTTTGAGCGTAACTTTAACTATTTTTATGGTGGCTTTAACCACTTAAAAGGTAACTTTTAATTTGTCGTTGGTTTAAATTTTATTTTAATGTGTAATTTCTTATAGACACGTGATTACATACTATAAAAACTAATATGATTAATCTATTAGGTACATTAAAAGTTTTTTTGTAAGATAAAATTTATTAATAGAAAAATAATAACTTTTGCAATATAAAGGGTAACTTTAAGTACTTTTAACATAGTTTTAACCTATTTTACAATAAGTTAACGTACACCTGCCTTTTTTGGAGAATTTATGTAAAGTACTTTGTATCATTTCATCCTTATCACACGTACTAATTCCCTATCCATATCCTTATTGTCTTGAATCCTTAGAAGTTGTTTGTTTGTAGGGATAAATGATGGGATATGGATTAATGATCCCTTGTTTGTTTAATGGGAATTGTTCTATCCCATGTGAAAGGGATAGAGATAAAAATTAGAGTTATCCCTCTATTTTTATAACAAGGGGTAGGTATAAGGGGTAGGGATTAAAATTGAAAAGTAAAAGACAATTTTATCCTTAATGAAAGGGAAGGAAGAGGAGAGAGGAGAAATGTTAGTAAGGATAGTTAATTAATTTTACTACTTATCCTAATTTAATTCTCAAATCATACCAAACAATGAATAATATATTTTTTATCCTTATCCCACCATTCCCACCTATTAATTCCCTATCTTTATCGTACCTTCTAATCTTCGTTGTCAAATTGGGCTGTCGGAGTTTGGACCTCAACTCAAGTCACACTCACAAAACACAAACAAATGATAATCGACACCTACACACAGCCACACTCACTCCACTCATTTATATGTTTATTTTGTGATTCTTCAAATGCTGAAGATTTTAGATCTTTCTCGATTCTTCCTTAATCGATCATCTTCTTCTTTCCTTTTCTCTGCAAATTACCTTCCATTTGCACCTCTTCACTCTTCTCTCTCTCTCTCCCCGAAGCTTCTCGATCATGGCTTCCGCTTCTGCTGCTGATGAATTCGTCAAGGGCAACGTTCATCCCAATGGCGTCGCCGTCATCACTCTTGATCGTCCTAAAGCTCTCAACGCCATGAATTTAGGTCATTTTCCCCCCTTTCTACTCTTTAATTTTGTTATTATTATTCTGTAATTCACATTTTTGCCAAAATGATCTATTTATTGATTATTTTATTGGCCAATTTATGAGCTATACATGTATTAAGCTGCAGTGAATAGGCTTAATATAGTATTCCTGTGTTTTGTACTATAATAATGGAGGATACCTTTTGCTGCAGATATGGACATCAAGTACAAAAGCTTTCTTGATCAATGGGAAGAAGATCCAAGAGTGAAATGTGTTCTAATTGAGGGTAGTTCACCTCGAGCATTTTGTGCTGGTAATTGATGTGAACTCAGTACAACTTCTTCAACCATTCATTCCCCTCCCTTTCTTTTTTTTTTTAGCATCTGCTTTTATGAGCTCAATTTTCTAACCTATGATAGTTGCTCTATGGTTACATCACCAAGTTTCAGAGCAATTGGTAAGGTTTTGAGGTGACCTATTCATTCGAAATGCAGGAATGGATATTAAAGGTGTTGTTGCTGAAATTCAGAAGGATAAAAGCACACCTCTTGTCCAGAAGGTTTCTTATTTCTCTGAAATTAATTTTTCTGCAACATCAGGGTCCTCTTTTGGGGATGATGATGATTGAAATGCTGCTGATGGTTTCGATACTTCTATATGTTTTCTCTGGTTTTATGTTTAAGAAATTGTTTATACTGAATTAAAGCTGATGTTTCCTCTGGATTTATAACCTGAAATACCAGTTGATCTGCAGGTGGTGATGTGAAGCAGATCATTACAAATAACAAATTAGCAGATGTGATTGAGGTCTTGTGTGTTTCCTATTTGTATTAACTTGTTTTATGATGTATGATATTGTCGAGGCTAGATAGTAGGCCTTAAATGTTTTAAATAGTAACATTGAAATTGATTCTCTCTCACTGTATGTTTGTAAGAATGTAACCAGAGATAATTGCCAGATATCTAGCATCCTGATGTAAATGAATTTATTGAAATAAACATTAAGAACAGCATGCAATGGATATGTGTGTGTGTGTGTGTGTGAGTGTGTGTGTCTGTAATCAGATGTGTTGCAAGTGAAATTACATTGTTTGGAGCTACATTATCTGTACTTCCCTAATTGACCTGGTGGTGGTACTACTTTTCCGAGGGGATGTCATTATTCTAGTAAAATTGACCTGCTATCATGCTATGCCATTTTCTCCAATCTCTAATTCTATCATATTTCAAGTGTGTGCGTGTGAATATATGATATACACATCATGCACTTGAATTCTGAACATAGACTACGTTGTAACGCTGTTGATTCTGGCTTTCCTCGTGCTTTTTTTGTGGTAAGCTGCTTAGTTGTCCTTTGCTTATTTTGTTGTCTGTTTTGGCAGATATTCACTGCAGAGTATACTTTGATATGCAAGATATCTGAGTACAAAAAGCCGTACATCAGTTTAATGGATGGCATAACTATGGGTTTTGGTATTGGGTTATCTGGCCATGGCCGTTACCGCATTGTGACAGAGGTACTGTGATACCATATTGTCCTTTTCTACTTAATCTCTAGATATTAATGCAGTTTACATATATTTAACATTTTTCTGCACTGCTGTTGCAGAAAACTCTTCTTGCCATGCCAGAAAATGGCATTGGTTTGTTTCCTGATGTGGGGTTCTCATACATAGCTGCAAAAAGTCCCGGAGAAGGATCAGTAGGTATGTTTGTTTACTACTCGGCATTTC